ACATGCTAATTTATACATTAAAATATTCTATTACAGAGTATTTCTTTTTCTATAGTTTATTTCCCTTTACATTTAGTTAAATAATACTAGAGATATTACACAAAATAGGACTAAAAAAGTTTGAAAATTCCAAAATAGGACTTCCATATTTTTATCCCCAAAATAGGACTAATTACTGTCATGTTTTGGCAGTAGCAGACTTCAAACATGTCAGTATTTTCTAAATTTGGCAATAATTAGTCCTTTTTTGGGAATAAAAACATGACAGTCCTATTTTGGAATTTTCAAACTTTTTTAGTCCTATTTCGGGAACTTTCCCATAATACTACCTCCGTCCCATTTATATTGGGACGGAAGAGGGTGGCACGATTATTAAGAAAAGTGGGTTTGTGTGGTTGATATTAATTGACAAAGTAAGAATAAAGTAAGAATGATTTAGAGCCACACAAACTTTGCCAAATATGGTATGAGACAATTTAAGTGGGACTTCCCGAAAAGGTAAAACGGGACAATATAAATGGGACGAAGGGAGTACTTCATAAATACAAGAAGATGGGATGAACTACTATTTTTCATTTTCTAATTCTAGACTATAGAAATTGATCAAATAAAATAATAAGCATATGAAATCGAATCAAATCAAACTAAATTGAACCTAATAATTTTCACTTTGATAAAACCAAACTTGAAACCAAACCGAAGTGAAACACAATCGAAATACAAATGGTTTTAGTTTGGTACAGTATCTCTCAAACTGAATAAACCGAAACCGAACCAAAATCGATGAAAACTGTAAGTCGAATTGCACACCCCTAGTTGGATGTATATTCGAGTACTTTTGTATTTTTTTTTAACTTGATTGGGTAAAATCAAATCAGTAGTTCATCTCTTTTATTATTTTCTTTAAATCGTCTTGTGGCTAAATTTGGTGAGTGGTGGAGTGGCTAAACAATCCTGGGGTGGTGTGTGTGAGTTGTTCTGGTTGGAGACCTGAGCTGAAATACACACCCAACAGTGGTATCAGAGCCTGGTTGCTGTCTGCCGCCGTACTCCGCCGCCGCCGTACGCCCCCGTACGCCGCCGGTTGAGCTCTTAGAAGCTCTGCCGAATTTTTGGTCCGTAGTTCTACGTTGCCCGCTGCCTGAACCGCCGTTCGTCATCATCTCCGTCAGACACTGTCGCCCCAATTCCGTTCGATTGTTCAGGGAGGTCTTCGATCGCCGATTTGTTCGCCGCTGAAGCTGTCACCCGAAAGCCGCCGTCCACAGTCGCAAGAGCTCGCCCAAACCTGTTCTCCGATTTCCCCAGGGAGACTATTTGAGGAGCTCGGAAGCTGATGCAGAGGACCGGATCTGAAAGTATCTGTCGCATCTGGGTCGTTGTTCGGCCGTTGCTTTGGATTCGCTGCTGAATCGCCGTCCAGAAGTGAGGAAGATCGTTCGCTGAAGCCGTCGCTTGGAAACCGCCCAAATCCGCCTGCTGTTCGTCGATTTGGAGCTTGTGGGTGGAGGTCGCCGCCGGAGCCGCCGTTTGCCTGGGAATCGTCGCTGGAGGTTTCCGTAGCAGAGAGGGAGCGCTCGTTGTCTAGTTCGCCTTCCAGAGCCTCCGCCTGAGAGCTCTCGTTTTTCCGTTCTTGGAAGCTGGACGAGAATTGAGCTTGAAACTTTTTCCCACTGCTGCTGCGTCAATTGGACGCAGGGATTTGAAGCTTGAAGAATTGGACTGCACCTGAAAGTGGACTCGTAGAGTTGGTGGGCTGGTCAAAGCTTGACTCGTGGTGTTGCTGGATGAACTGCTGGCCGAAGCTGGACACGGCTGGAATTTGAGCTGGTCAACTGCGAGTCATTGTAGGTCAACACTGGTCAAAGCGAGTCATCCGAAAAATCCCAATTTTTTTAAATTGGGTGGGTAAGGTCGAAACGCCTCTCCTAGGGTTTCGCTCCGGTATATTGACTTTTATCCCTCTTATCGCTCTTGTAGTGATTTAATCTTTTATTGTGTAGAAATTATGTTTTAGGTTTATTACTGCTGTTAAAATTGATTGAATTGTTGTATTGTGTTTGTGCTGAAAATTTATTATTTATTTGTGCTTATACGGAAGAACAAGGGGTTTGAAGTTGAGTTTGGTGCTCATTAATACTCCCCACGTGTTCGTGCTAGTTGCTCCGTATAGTTGTAGCCTTATAAATATTTGAATTGTTTTTCAGCGAAATTTACATTTTCTTTTGTTGCTTATTTTTTCTCTGTGAAAATGTCTGCTTATAATCAGTATGGTATGGCTCCATTTAATGGAAAATCTGATTTTAGCATTTGGAAGCAAAAAATTAAATGTATTTTAATACAACAAAAATGTTTTAAAGCAGTTGGCGAAACCTATTTAATTTCTGACACAGAAGAGAAAAGGGCTGAAATGAATGAAAATGCATGTTCTGTGATTTATTTGAACTTATCTGACTCTGTGATTAGAAAAGTTGGAATTTTAGAAAGTGCTAAAGTTCTTTGGAATAAATTAGATGAACTGTATACTGAGACCTCTTTGCCTAACCGGATATTTTTACTTGAGAAATTCTTCAAGTTTAGACTAGATATGTCTATGGATATTGAAGAAAATCTAGATGTTTTTACCAAACTTATTTCAGATATTAAGTTGTGTGGTGATAAGCATATAGATGATTATTCCCCTATTGCTCTTTAAAATGCTATTCCTGATTCCTTTAGTGATGTGAAATCTGTTATTAAGTATGGTAGAGATAATGTGACTCTTGACATTGTGGTAAATGGTCTTAAGAGTAAGGAATTAGATTTAAAACAGATGGGTGGGGGTAGAAAATCCGAGGAAGTTATGCATGTGAGGGGTAGAGAAAATAATAGTAGACGACATAGATCTAAGTCTAGGTCTAATTCGAGGCGTTGCTATTATTGTCATGAACCTGGTCATTTCATAAGAGACTGTCCTAAATCTAGGAAAAATGAGCATAGTGAGCATGCTAATTTGACTACGTGTGAAGATGATTTAGGTGATGTTTTTATGATGAAAAATCTATGTGATTATGACTATTTGAGTTCTGTGATATCTGATTCTTTGGGTAAATCAGATTGGGTGGTAGATTCTGGTTGTACTTTTCATATGTCCCCGTTGAAAAATATTTTTTCAAACTATAGAGAGATTGAGCATGGCTTTGTGTCTTTAGCAAATGAGAAGAAATGCAATGTGCTAGGAATAGGAGATGTATGCCTTAGGTTTTCTTCTGGTTATGTGCTTACTTTGAAGAATGTTAGGCATGTTCCTGAGCTGTGCTGTAATTTGTTATCTTGTGCTTCTCTTGAAAATGAGGGTTTGAAGGGAAAATGGGGAAAGGGAATCATGAAAGTTGTGAAGGGTTGTTTAGTTGTTTTCAAAGCTGAGATGAAAAACAACTTGTATGTTTGTCATGCTGAACCCGTACTTGATTATGTGAATTGTGTGCAACCCCGTGTGCTAGGAAAACAGTCTAGAGTTGGTTTTCCTGATCTACCTAAGTGTACTAATGTGCTTGATTGTATTCATGCTGACTTGTGGGGTCCTTATAGTGTTTCCACTCATGGTGGGAAAAATTATTTTCTGACGTTGATTGATGATTTTTCAAAGAAAATGTGGGTTTTGTTGATTGAAAATAAATCTGAAGTTTTTGATAAGTTTAAAAACTGGAAAACCCTTGTTGAAAAACAAACCGGTAAGAAAATTAATTTTTTAAGGACCACTGTCAGTTTTGATTTCTGTGATACTCAGCTTGGTGATTTATGTGATACTTGGGGTATTTCTATGCATAAATCTGTTCCCTCCACACCCCAACCGGATGGGGTTGCTGAGAGGATGGTTAGAACTTTATTAGAGAGGGTGAGGGCTATGTTAACTTCATCTGGGCTCTCTAATAAGTTCTGGGGGGAAGCTATTTGTTATGCTGTTGATTTGATTAATCTGTCCCCGTCTGTTCCCTTAGGAGGGAAATGCCCTGAATCTGTGTTCACGGGCAAACCACTTAACTTGCCAAATTTGAGAGTGTTTGGTTGTGCTGCTTATGTGAATCGTGTGAATGATAAATCTGAACCTAGGACTAAGGAATATGTTTTCTTAGGATATCATGATTGCATGAAAGGTTATAGGCTTTGGTGTAGGAGTGAAACTTGCTTCAATGTGTTGATGAGTAGAAATGTCATTTTTGTTGAAAATGAATTTCCTTGCCTGCTTGTTTCTCCTGATGTTGCTCCAAATGAGGTGGAGCATTTGCCTGTTGAAGTTCATTCCGATTTACTTGTTGAAACCGAACCCAAATTTGTGGATGAAAATGATTTTCATGGTGAAAATAAAGAAAATAATATTTCTATTAAGGTGGAGCATGATATGAATGTTGTGTGCAATATGCTTGAGTTGCGTGATTGCCATGTTATTAGAGATAGAGGCATTAGGAAGCATGTGAGAAATTATATGTGCAATGTGTTTGACTATATTTCCTCTGAGTTTGCTTTAAATGTGCTTAATTCTCTTTTAATTAAAATCTTTGTGATATTTGGTATGCTATTTTCTTTGTGTTTTGAAAATGTGATACCATGTGATTATGTGAGCTCCGCCTGTGCCAGTTATAGAAATAATATTATTTCTTTTATTTTCTTTATACTTGCTTTGTGTGGTTGTTGGATTAGTTGGAATCCCCAACTTCTCCCGGATGCTTGCTTGCGTGGTCTATTAACATGTGTTGTGCTTGTTAATAGTTTTGTGATGGTTTTGGTTCTGAACTCGAGGACCGATTGGTAGAGTTCAGTCCATCGTGAAGTGGGTTTGCACGGTAAGCTTGGTCCGAAAGGGAACTTTGGTTCTCATCTATTACTTGTATGATCGCAATGATGTACTTGTAATGGTTCAGCGATGATGAGTCTCCTCACAACCGTGTATTTGTTACTCTACACCACTTAGGACCAATAAGGTGGAGAATGTTGGAGGTATTGGTCATGCCAAGGCCTCCCTTCCACTTATTCGTGTTAAGGCCTGCACCCTAAGTTTAGCCGTACTCCTATTATTTCCTCTTGGTTTGTTCACTACCTAATCACATGGCCTTGTTATGTCTTGCCCGTTGCTATCCTATCTGCTACCTTACGTTTGGGCTCCCTTTGTTTTGTCTTTCTTAGACATGTGACTCACTTGATTAGGAAAGCATCTTTTTGAGCTCCATATATTTGTGGCCAGTGAGTATGAGAGAGTCGACTTCCTCCTTTGTGTGAGTGAGGCGTGAAACTAGTGGGCAGTAGCTATTGAGAGTGTATCTCCTCCTTTGTGTGAGTAACCAGAGAGTTAGAGTATAGTCCTTCTTCTTCCCTTGTCCTCTGTGTGAGCTTGAGAGGTGAAAAAGAGTATGGCTAAATTTGGTGAGTGGTGGAGTGGCTAAACAATCCTGGGGTGGTGTGTGTGAGTTGTTCTGGTTGGAGACCTGAGCTGGAATACACACCCAACACGTCTTCTTCCCTGCATGCATCTGCTCTCTTTCTTCTATGACTTCATCTTTTTTTATTATTATTTATAAAAAACTACTAGTATTTGTCATTGTGATATGGGCAAAAGCCAGAGAACTTCTCAGCCGGGTGGTGATCCAAGCCGAAGAAGGGCCATGTCGCTGAGACGGAAGAATTGATGACGGCTGGGTTAGATCAGTGGCGGTGGGAATCATACTCGGCATCATTCAGAAAGTGAATATTGCACATTGCCACATTTTGCTCTTGTTCCGGTTCCAATCCAATATTAGAGCTCAAGGATGATCGATTGATGAATAAAAGAAATAAAGGAAAAAGTTAAAAAGGAAGAGGAATCCCAAGGCTTGAAAATTTAACTAAGACGAAATTTGCTAGCAGACGTAGCAGTGAAATCTGTCAAGAAAGTCCATTGGGATGGAGGCATAACTTTTTATCTTTTCTTACCAGCTCAGCAAATTGATCACACAATCTCAATGTTCTAGAATCTAGAGAACATGATACTCAATACAGATGCTTTGATGCTGTTTGATTACATGGTCTCAATGGTCAATAATAAAGAATTTGATACTCAATGAATATGTTTTTTTGTTCGATGCAGAGCTCTAATGTTCAATGAAGATGTTTGAACATATTGTCTCAATGTTCAATAGTAGAGAACATGATACTCGAAGAAAATGCTTCGGTGCTCAAAAGATTTTGAAAATTTTATGTCCAATTGCAAAGTTTTAATACTTAATAGAGAAGGCTTAGCTTAATGCTCAACTAACACATCTTGGATTTTCATTTCATACATATTTCAAAAGTATAATATTAAATTAGATTCGCGCAATGAAATTCACAGGAATTGATTATGGATACGTAGTATAATTTAATAAATTTCTATAAAATAAAAAATAAGGAAAAAAATTGAATTAGAAAATATGAAGCAGATATTTAGCCTATAATGCTCATATTAATCACAATACAACAATTAAATGAAATGAAATTACAAAGAAAATGTTACCTAAACATCAATAGTGGTAAGAAGTGAGCATCCACACCTCAAGAAACTGTAAAAGAGAAAGAAAATTATAAATAACTAGAAACTAATCTGAGGATTAAACTATGGATTGAATTGTAATTACGGGAAAGTGGTGTCTATATAAGTCAGATTGACATCTTTTAGTCTATTCGCGATTACATATTGGATCAAATGAAATTCTTTAGCATGTTCTGGTATTTGTTCATAGCCGTTGTGACCTATGACTTGTGCCGATTTGCTGTTTATGGATTTTGCATTGGAGAAAAAGTATGAACATTACGCCAGATAAGTCGGCCGCATACTATGTGTATTCTACATAATATATCTTTTTACGTTACTAATTTGGACATGACTCTTTTAGCAAAGTTGTAGCTAAGAAGTCTTATATCCACCAAAACTTGAATCACTTTATTTGAATCATCATACAAATCAAAAGATATGAGAAGTATGCATCGTAAAACACCAGCAACATTTGACTTTATCAGTTGGTTAAGTGTTGATATTTTCCTACACTGGCTATATTATCTTCACAACATTTGTAACTTGTTGAGTTATAGTTCTAAATAAATTTGAATGGCGTCATTTGGAGTTCTCTACATAATGAGAGCTCGAACGTTAACAACATTCTAACAAGACTTAAGGTATTTTAAACTATGTAATTATTCAAATAAATTTGTATTTGTACAATAATGGCACGAATATAATTTTTTTATATAGAGCTCAGAATATATGTGTGTGTATTAAAATTATTACATATGCAAGTTGGGACACTTATCTCACACTCTCATTAAAGTTTGAGGTATTTAAACTAATTTTCCTTTAAAAATAAGGGTAGTTTTACAGGGGTCTCTCCAATATGGATTCCGGATGATTTTAATGGAGTTTAGAATTCTATCAGAACTCAAGAGTCTCCGATTTGGATTTCTCTGAAATCCATGAAAATAAGAGTGTTCTAAAACATTCCATTGGTTTCTATTGTTACTTATTTGGATGGATTTTAATGGATTTTGATGGACTTCTACATACAAAAACATTCCACCACCAATCTTCTATCGATGATTTTTTAAAAAACCATCTGAGTCCTAGTTGGGGACACCCCTTAATATTTCATATTGAAAAGTTACTTTTATGAAAATGTTAAATTTATTTTGGAACATCCAAATAAGGAGAGTAGGAAATTGTTACTGAGGTAGTACATTTTATTGGACCCCATATTATTGATGAGATTAGATTCTGCATAATGTTGTTCTAAAAGTAAATATGTGCACCCATCTTATTGAAAAATTAAATGGTTGGACTTTTTTATATCTTGTGGGTTTAATCTAATGTTCAACTTCCTGCTGTGCACAGAAAGGGTGGAAATCTAGGTATGACAAGAGTAGTAATCAGGGGGGAATTAATACAACAAAATTGGCGCATTATTATTACTATTCCGAAACGAAAACTAATAGGCGGAAAGCCATCAGCAACTTAGCTCACACTGTTATCATTTTGGTGGAGTCTGAATCATCCCATCTTCTGCTGCAGCAGCTGCAGATGCTGCATCATTGTAACCCAACTTCTGTAGCTCTTCCACGAAACCATCCATTTCAGTGGGGCTGATTTTATATGGACTATAAGCAGCACCAGGGAAGGAACCACTAGTCACTTCTTCCTTGTATGCTAGAAGTGCTCTGTTGATTTCATCTCCAACATGCCCGAATTGTTTACAGAACTTTGGAGTAACCTTCAAAATGAGTAAGTAGCACTTGCCATTCACAACTTTGCAGCCTCAAATTCCTAAGAATGAAAACCAATTTCATCATAAATAGAATAGCTGATTGTACATACTGACCTTGGCGTGGTGTGGATGTTGCATCATCCCAAGTAAATCATGATAAACTAGCACCTGCATTGCAATTGTTGTTACAGTTGTAATAACAATATCTTTCAGAAAACATTCTATCGTAGCAATCCCCATTCAAAACGAAGATTAAGCGTATTCATTATTCAGATTACTGCCAATGTGAGAAAAAATAGAGTGAAGCATCACCAACCTGACCACTGCAAAAGGGGCCAGCCCCAATGCCAATAGTGGGAATCTTAAGAACAGAAGTTGCTGCTGCTGCCACTTGTGGTGGCACACATTCCATGACAACAGAAAAACACCCTGCCTCCTGGAAAGCCAATGCAGTTTCTAAAACCTGCAAAAATTAATGTACAATATATATTAAAAAAGAAATATCAAATTGGTTGTTCAATGGTTACTATAAACGGCCATATCCAAGTAGTAAACTTCGTACCTTGACTGCACTAGAAACATTTCTACCTTGGGGCCTAAATCCTCCAAGAACACTAATGGCCTGAGGGGTAAGTCCAACATGCCCCATAACAGCAATTCCTGAGTTGACAATCGCTTTAGCGGCTGTAATTCTGGAAGGTGCACCGGCTTCCAACTTAATAGCATCCATAGCTCCTTCCTTTAAAACTCTTACTGCTGCTTCGACAGCCTGTTTATGATTCAACAACAGTACACTAGTCCACCAATTTCACTTTTTGTCAAACTAAATGTTACATCAAATATGATGAGTTAAGAAGAAGACTACATTCGCCTAATAGTAGATGGTCTTTTCTTTTCTGAACCGTAGCTGAAATGCTCAGATGCCCCACTTAAGTAGTACTGCCTCCATCCCACCGTCTTTGGGAAATCATGAAGTCATACGCATAATAAAGAAAGTAGAATTAAATGGTTGATATTGAGTTTGTAAAGTATAAGTGAATTTGAACCACACAAATATTATCAAATATGTAATGAGACAAACTGAGTAGACAGACAAAAAGGAGAGATGAAGATAGTGGGATGGAAGTAGTAGATTAAAATTTAATGTGAAGGCCAAAGAATGCAAAAAATAATCAAATGTCTTAATTAAAATTATACTATGAAAAAGTAAAAGCATCTAAAAAATACCTGCCCAGTGCTGGCCTCATAGCTACCAAAAGGGAGATCACAAACAAGAAAAGGGCGTTTAGCCCCTCTAGCGACGGCTCGACAATGCACAAGCATCTCATCAAGGGTAATTGGAAGGGTGGTGTCGTGTCCGTGGACCACCATCGCGGCAGAGTCACCAACTAGACATATATCAATTCCAGCCATGTCAAGATGCACAGCAGAAGGGTAATCGTAAGCAGTGACCATGGTTATGGGTTCCCCCTTGTGGTGCTTCTGTCGGAGAGTGGTGAGTGTTGTTCTCTTGTTATGGTCCTGCGGCTTGGGACCACCATACACCGCATTCTCTGGCAAGTTGCTCATGCATCTTGGGGCAGTTGTTGTTCTTGGACGGCTGATCACAGATTGTCTTATGAAGCTTCTTGATATTGAAGTTAGAGATGCCATCCAAATTCGGTGTATCTTTCAGAATCCTATTAAAAGAAGATAAAATGGATGCTATCTTATACTGAAAAGTTAATTGGTCCAAATTTCCTCTATAGGCCACAAAGATAGTCCCATGATTCAGAACCTGTTCATTTGAACTGGAATTTTTATAAAATCTAAGTCTGCTTTGGTTTATTTAAGTCTAGCCTGGTTAGTTTCTATTTGATATTATGTTTACTCTATTTAATGATGGTCTAGTTTGGTCTATTTAAGTCTGTTCTAGTATGTTAAGTCTAGCAACTAAGTTCTCTGAATTCGAAATTACTTTAAAATTAAAATTTAAAAATCATATTATTTGATGCAAGAATTCTATACCTGTACTTTTGTCAATGGAAAAATACTAATTGGAGTTAAAAGTAAGAAATAGTGTATAAACAAAGTACAATAAATTATTGCACCAATTGATTGATCCTAGTGCTCGTTTTTATTAAGTGATCTAAAATTTCAACATTACTAATGGCCATATATACATCTCTCGAACGAGACAATCAGATCCCTATCTTTTTCTTCCATTCATCAAATGTTCTAAATAATTTTCACACTTAACTTTCAGTAACAAAAAGCACCAGTTGAATTTTGAGTGTTGCTTTATTATGTACGAAGTATCAAACACTAATAGAATGCTGATTCTCCAAACGCAAGGTCCAGATGCCCAGTTCTTCAAGATCAAATGCATATTAAAGTGGGAAATCCTAAAAAGATTACAAACCATCACACACAAAACATATCAAAAACACAAAAACAGTATACAGGAAAAACCCCAGTACCAACCACCCTACTGTTTAGATGACTCGTGTTTTAAAGTAGATATTTGAAAACAGTTAATCAATAAAGGAACCGGGAAAAAAATTGAGACTTGAGGCTAAGAAGAGGCTAGCTTTCCTTGAAGGGAAAGCTAAAGATTGAGAAAGAAAAGATTCAGATGGATGCACATTGCATAATGACTCAGCGATGCAACATCCTCATTCAGTCAATTGTAAGATTTGCAGAAATAGGTTAAACAATATGGCATTTTAAAAAATCCTATTTGGGGGGTAACAAACTAAAGGTTTAAGTAGTTAAATATTCAGGAAGTCTATCGGAGGGTAACGAGTGCCTACTACCTATATTCGTCGGCTGGGATCCCAAAGAGAAGGCGAAGATAGACGACTCAGTCGGCTTGGGCTGGAACGAGGTCGCGAGAGGTGGGGAGACGAGGTCCCAAGGAGCGCCTGGCGATGCTGCGATGGCGTCCAGTCGCGATACAGCAGCGAGCAGAGCCGGAGGAGCGAGCAGCGCTGCAGCAAGGTGCTGTCCTGTGTTTATGAGTGAAAACAACGAGGACTGAGACTGCCGTCTACCGGCAACCCAGATAAAGTGATAAACCCAAATGTCCAAATTCGGCTCTGGTTAAAAAATCATGCAATCCTTTATACCGAGTATATAAAACACAATTTGTCCTAAATAGGAATAAAAACGTTTTAAAATTCTAAAATAAGATTATGTTTTTTATTACTTGAGTGAGATAATCTGCCAAGTTTGAAAAAAATGACATGTTTAAAGCCTAGTAATGTCAAACTTGGCAGAAATTTACTCTTATTTAAGAAATAAAAAACATGATAGTCCTATTTTGGAATTTCAAAACGCTTTTACTTCTATTTATGGAATTATCTCTATATAAAAATATAGGAGTATTTTTTAAATTCGGTTCTGTTCTACTAAAAAATATCAAGAATCGTGTTGGATCCAAATAAAATGTAAACCATTCGGTTCTTGCATTCTTCGGTTCATAAAGAAATCGCCTCATCTTTGTAATGTGAATTTGATCTTTCCGGTGATCGGCGACGGCAATCGGTGGCGATGTTTATGGTGGTGTCCGGTAGTAGCCCGGTGGCGGCATTAAGTTGGCGCCTCGTGGCGAACGGCGGTCCGGTGGTGATCCAGTGGCGATCGTCAACAGCGGTCCACTGGCGGTCCTATGGTAATTAGTGGTGGCGGCTCCTTGGCGATTTGACGGTGGCCGCCGCCGATCTGGTGGCGTCCAAGTGGAAGTTGGCAGTGATATGATGGTTGTCCAGTGGCAGCCTGTGGTAGCCCGGTGGCAGCCGGTAGTGGTACGCCCGTGACCGCCGCCTATCTAGCGGCAACCGACGATGGTTTGGTTGTTTGGTGGCGGGCGGCGATGGTCTGACAGCGGCCCGCTCGGTGATCCGACGATGGTCTTCGGTGATCCGACGGCGGCTTGTAGGCGGTCCATTGGCGATCAATAGTTGTCCGGTGGCGGCTGACAGTGGTCCTATGTAGAATTTTAAATTTTAATAGTATGAGCTTGTGTATGGGAGATAAATTGATAACAATTTTAAGGGAACCATGTTATGTGGATTTCAAAACACTACTTTCGTTTTCTAAAAACACTTCTTAGGATTATGATTTTGGAAACATAAACGACTTTCTACCAAACGTGTTTCTGTTTTTTCTCAATTTCTTGGTAGTTTTTCCCATGCATACTATTATACGGAGTAATAATTTTGGATAAATTCTTGCACCCACCACCTCCCTGCCACTTCCCTCAACCCTGTCCTAGGCACTAACAAAACCGCCGGCCGCCCCTAAGGCCCAAAATCGCTCTCACCGCCAAGAATTCCAATTATGCGCCGGTCCAATATTGCCCCACCACTAACAATTTTAGATGGAGTTTCACGACCGCCGCCGCAGGAGATGTTGTTGCCCGGAGAAGGTGAAGCTTGAGAATAAAGTGGCGAAGCTTGAGTACAATGTTAAAAATAAATATGCATGAGTAAAACATTTGAAAATGAGCTCAATTTATAAGTTAGGAACCATGAATTAAAAATTATTATTTCTATTAAAATTATTGTATTTCCCATTGTTAGATACACTGATAATTTAGTAATTATATTTATAGACATGAGTTTCAGGTTATACTTATATGACCCTAGAGTTGATCAAAGATAACATTTGGTATTGGTGGTGTGTTCATTTTAAAATGTTACATCAATGCATATTTTCAAAGATATAATGCATTGATGTTACACGGTGTTTGCACATTGTAATTCATAATTAAGAGTTAGTTATAGATATAACATAAAATATTTTACAAAAAGGAAAAAAAAAAACTAAAAATATGAAAGTGAAATAGAAGACATGCACGAGAGCAGCAATCATGATACTCAATTACATAATTCCAACACTAAATAAATGAGTCTTGATGTCCAACAAAAATGGTTTGCCGCTCAACTAGTTGAAGTTACAATTTTTATATTAATGTACAAAGTACATTTTAAAACTACAATACTCCATACTAAATTAGATTCACATATTGGATTATTATGAGTTGATTATAAATACTCCCTCCGTCCCTGAATGTTGTTCCAATTGCGGATTACGAAGGTTGACTGACGATAAAGTTAAATGATCCCTGTGAAAACTCGGATTATTTTTAGTAAATAAAATTTACATATTCAGAAACTACATTAAACCCGCTACAAAGCCTGCAAAAAAAATAATCAATTTTCATAAAGTTTTGATACAAAAAGTAAGAGTTTAAGAGTGATTTAAGTTGACTCTCGAAAAACGAAATGGCAGTAAATTTAGGGACATAGGGAGTATAATTTAATAATTTCGTACAAACAAACCAAGAACAAGAAAGTGATTTAGATGACATGTAAGTGGCAATCATGATAGCAGATGTTCGATGAAATTTATTTGAAGTTCAACCAGCAGATGCCAGTAGTTGTCATGCCACATTTTTATATTAATCTATATTTCAAGAGCATAATATCAAACTAGATTTATGTTGCGATGTTGGGCCCGGGCCCAAAAGCAGGCCCAAATATCCCTGGAGGCGGGAGACGCATGCATATATACCGGTTCAGGCAGGCTTTCGGCATTTGCCACATGGGCATTACTGCACGGCCTCTTCCCATTACTTTTGCCAAACTACTCAGCTCAACAACCGCCCAAGCGAGAGCCCCCCCCCCAAACAAATTGGCGGGAACCCCTAGAGTTGGCGGGTAGCATTGGATATGGGGTATTTTGTGGTTGGGGCCCAACCACTCAGGGTTGGCCATGTCGCTCCCTCCACCTACTGACCTACTCACTTGTATTATAATTAATTAACATCGGTTATTACGTTGTAAAGGGACAACAACTTTTTGCTCTTAACATTATAGTTCTCTCACTACCATCCATCATAGTCTAAAGGGTCGAAGTGTCATTACTCATTCGGCATAAGTGTCATAATCGTTGTATAGACTCCAGTAAAATTAGATCCACATTGCCTCTAAAGATATTGTCTTGCCTTGTTATTTCCTTTCACTTAAGTCCACCAAGCAACCTACTCAACCAAGCAAACCGACGAAGCGCAAGGACTGTGTTGGAGCTTTGGATGTTGAGGAATAAACCTCAACAATTTACACATCAAAATTCGTACGAGTTGATTATAGATATAATTTGAATTTTTTTTGGGGGGGGGTATAAGAATAACAAAGTCAATTATAAGATATACGAGGAGAGACCACAATTCTCAATTGCAAGGTTTTAATGCTCACTAGAAGAAGGAGGTAAGGGTCAGATTGGTACTCAAAGATGCATAAAAAGGGTCAAATAAGTCCTTATATAGGAGAATCTATCCGGTCGTCGCCATTTGGGGCGGTTCCTGGTGGAATTTTTTGACGAATTTTTTTGAGCATCTTATTCATTAAGTCTTGTTTACTCATATCAAATTTAAGCTAAAAATTCAACCGGGAAGGTATTCAAATGAATTCTTGAAGATAACTGTACTTTTAACTGCTCAGTTATCTTCAAGAATTCATTTGAACACCTTCCCGATTGAAGTTTTAGCTGAAATTTGGTATGAGTAAACTAGACTTAATGAATAAGATGCTCAAAAAAATCATCAAAGAATTCCCCTGGGAACCGACTCAAATGGCGACGGCCGGACAACAAGGACTTATTTGACCCCTTTTATGCAAAATCAAGTATCAATCTGACCTTTACCTCCTAGAAGAAGCTTGATTTTCAATAAAATGTCATAACTACCTTAGGTGGGGCTTGGATTTCAGACCTGAGCATACATCTATCAATTCTTTTGCATTATCAACTCACTAGTTACTATTACACGCGGGCAGGTAGGCTCTGTGTCTAGGGTTTAGAGGCGGCTTTTCATCCGCAGGTTTGGTGCGCCGTTTTCCTTTAAGCAAAGCAGCAAACACAATTGGGTTCGGCCGTTTAGTTTTCTCTGCCGACATCAAAAACACGCAAGGGAGTAGCAATGGAAGGCAATAACTAGGAGTAGATAGAGGTTGTGGCTCAAGCTTGTGAAAAGATGGAGATGAAGGAACAAGATGAAGACACAGACAACCAATGAGTGTATGATCGGTTGGATGTGAAGGCGGAGGGCGAAGTGTTATAGGTTAGTCCCCCTCCTGAACAGCCGCCCGGGGAGGAACGAGCGGTTAGGGGTTGGATGCCCCTTTTAGTTATTTTTGCTTATTTTAGGGGAGTTTTCCAATTTTTGTTTTGTGATTTTAGTTTTTAGATTGGGAGGAAACAATCAGGCTATTTTGGCCGATAATAACTTTGAATCTCTCGCACGTGCAACCACTAGTCTTGTTCATTGTTGGGCAACCTATTATATGCCAGATCAGAAAGTGAGGGGGCTTATTGACAATAAGGAATTTACAGGGAAGGTTCGGATAGTTGAAAGGTGAATGTTTGGAGGTTTGTTTGTACGAGTTTAGTATAAGCTGTTGAGTTTTCCAATAAAAATAAATAAATAAAATGTCATAACGATCAACTAGCAAAAGTTACCATATTTCATCTATGATTACAAAAATATCTAATTATATGTTGTTGACGGTACACCCAGGACACTGGGCCGACACAAAAAAAAAATTGGAAAAAATTTCACATGAATTTTTTTTTACCTAAAAAATTAAGGTATTTTTAAAATTTGGGATGAGTCAGGGCCCAGGTTGCCCCACCCCTAGCTACCCTCCGTTTTTTTTATCAGTCCTTCTTTCCTTTTTGGGACGTTTTTTTTATCTGTCTTCCTTTCCATTTAAGGAAAGTTTTTACTCTAAATATACCTGTATACCCCAACTTTTATTATCATTACCCCTTTCTCTTTCCTACTTTTTCATTTACCCACTACTCATTACACCTTTTACACTACCCCTACTACTTTCATCTTAAAACCCGTGTCAAAGCCTAAGAGGACTAATATTAAAGAACGAAGATGGTATTCATTAAATATAGTTTACTCATACCAAATTTCAGTTACAAATTCAATTGAAAAGATAGTCAAATGAATTTGTGAAGGTAACTACGCAGTTAAACATCAGAGTATATTTTAGAAAATCATTTGACTGCATTC